CAGGCTGCGCTCGAGACCATGCGCACTGACCAACTCACAGCGATGGAGGCCATGCGCGCTGACCAAGATGAGCTGCGCCGAATGTTCCGCCAGTTTCTTACCGGAAAAGAGCCGGCCACCGCTTCCAGCAGCCACGCTGCACCCCACACAGGCCCTGAGGCTGCCCAAGTTCCGGCGTCTTCCGGTCTGGCCACCACAGCCCTGCCTAAGTTTACGCGCCTCGAATTTCCCCGCTATGATGGCAGAGATGATCCCATTGGCTGGATGCATCACTGTGAACAATTTTTCAAAGCCCAGAACACGCCGCCGCAAGAGTTCGTCAGCACCGCCGCGTTCCACCTGACGGGTGTCGCCCAGATGTGGCATTTCCGGCTGGAGCTTGAGGAACCAGACATGACATGGCAGCAGTTCAAGCAGCGATGTTTCTTGCGTTTTGGCCCTGGGCTGCGCAGCAACGTTCTGGGATCGCTAGCCAAGCTCAATCAAGACGGGAAGCCGGTTGAGGATTACAACGACGAGTTCCAGTCAATGCTCATGCGCTCCACCACTGTTCGTCGCGACCAAGAGGTCGACTTGTACACTGCCGGCCTCGACGAGTGGCTGAGAATTGATGTCGAAAACCACCGGCCGGCGAACCTGGATATCGCCATGAACTTGGCGCGTTCATATAGCCGACGACAGTCATGTGCTCCGCGCGAGTCTTCGGGATTGCCTCGACGACAATCTAACACCGCCAACCTTTCTTTTTCAGGTACACAGTCGAAGCAGTCCGCGTCCATCTCCTCTGGCCGTCCCTCAGCGACTGCTTCGTTCCCGGCCAGTGTCACTGCCCACTCGCTAGGGAGTCGTTCCGCGTCTTCGTCGGCCAGCGCGCACTCTGTTTCGAACCGGCCCGTCGGCGCGACTCCTCCACCGGAACGACGCCTCTCACGCGCAGAGTATACCCACCGGCGTTCGCGTGGCCTTTGCTACAATTGCGACGAACGGTGGACCCCTGCGCATCAATGCAAGCATTTATTCCTTCTCGTCTTGGATGACACTATTTCAGACGCGGAATGCGACCCTCTTCCGGAGATGGCTACTGACAATCCAGAGATCTCCTTACACGCCATTACAGGTTCTAATCCCGGTCAAACTATGCAGGTGCAAGTATTTCTCGCAGACACGCCTGTCACTGCTTTGATTGACTCGGGCAGTACACATAACTTCATCAGTGAGCATACGGCGAAGTTGCTTGGCCTCCCGGTCACCGAGTGCGTCGGTCTCCAGGTTGCGGTCGCGAATGGCGAACAGATTTCCGGCTCTGGACTGTGCGATAAAGTTCGCGTTGTTAAGGATGGTTTAATATTTTTTATTAGTCCGTATGTTATTCCTTTGGCGGGTTTTGAATTAGTTTTGGGTGTTAAATGGTTGCGGACCTTGGGAGCAATTCTTTGGGATTTCACTGCCCTTACAATGTCCTTTACCGTTAAAGGCAACCCCATCACTTGGCACGGCGAGCTTCTTCGGCCCCATCGCGCGTTGCGCGCGATAAGCACAACGCCGGCCAGGACCGCTTTAGAACATCTTCTCACTGACTATTCTGTGTTATTTCAGGAGCCCACGTCACTTCCTCCGGCTCGCTCTTGTGATCATCGTATTACACTTGCGACTGGGGTGGACCCGGTGGCTGTTCGTCCTACCGTTACCCGCAGGCACAAAAAGACGAAATAGAGAAACAGTGCGGGGCCATGCTTGAATTGGGCCTTATCCGGCCTAGTCGTTCACCTTATTCGTCGCCCGTGTTGCTTGTCCTTAAACAAGACAAGTCTTGGCGATTTTGTATTGATTACCGGGAACTCAACGCCAAAACAGTTAAAGATAAGTTTCCCATCCCCGTCATTGACGAACTTCTGGACGAGTTGCACGGCTCACGTTTTTTCACCAAATTGGACCTGCGGTCCGGATACCATCAGATTCGCATGCACCCCGATGACGTCGAAAAGACGGCGTTTCGAACGCACCACGGCCATTTCGAGTTCTTGGTAATGCCTTTTGGGTTGTGCAATGCGCCGTCCACTTTCCAGGCGTTGATGAATCAGGTTTTCGGGTCTTTACTCCGTAAATTTGTCCTCGTTTTTTTTGATGATATACTTATCTATAGTAGGACATGGGCTGAGCATTTGCATCATGTTCGGACGGTTTTTGCTTTATTGCATGATAATCATTTACTCCTAAAAAAATCTAAGTGCGTTTTTGGTGAGTCTCAGGTTTGCTATCTGGGTCATGTTATTGCTGCGGACGGCGTTTCAATGGACTCTAATAAAATTAAAGATGTCCTGGAATGGCCGGTGCCGCAGTCTACTCGCGCGTTGCGTGGGTTTTTGGGTTTAGCTGGATTTTACAGGAAATTTATTAAAGATTTCGGCTTAATTGCGGCCCCCCTAACTTCTTTATTAAAATCTAACGCTTTTAGTTGGACCCCTGCAGCGGACGTCGCTTTTGCTAAGCTTAAATCCGCTGTCACGTCGGCACCAGTGCTGCAACTCCCGGACTTTGATGAATTATTTATTGTGGAGTGTGACGCTTCGGGGGTGGGTATTGGGGCGGTTCTGCATCAACTTAATCACCCCATTGCTTTTTTTAGCCGCAAGCTTGCCAATCGACATCATCAGTTAGCGGCCTATGAGAGGGAATTGATTGGCCTCGCTCAGGCAGTGTGTCATTGGCGACACTACCTATGGGGTCGTAGGTTCTTGATCCGCACGGACCATTACAGCCTCAAATTCCTTTTGCAGCAACGTCTCACGACGTCTCCTCAACACCACTGGATTAGCAAGTTATTAGGATACGATTTTGAGGTTGAGTTTCGAGCCGGGCGTTTAAACGCGGTCGCAGACGCGTTGTCCCGCCGTGACGAGGACTCCCCAATGTTGTTTTTCTTGTCCAGTCCTCGTTCCTCGTTGCTGGACTCCATTTCCCGCGAGTTGGACGATTCCCCGGAAGGAAAATCCTTGCTCGATCGTGTGAATGCGGGTTCGGCTGGTGACCGCTGGTCTTTGCGTGATGGAGTCCTCAGGTATAAAGATCGTGTTTATCTACTTCCTACTTCTAACTTTATTCCTGTAATCCTTGCAGGTATTCATGATGCCACGCATGAGGGCGCTCAGAAGACCTTGTTCCGGGTGTCCCGGGAATTCTATTGGCGAGGAATGAAGACCTCTGTTCGGGACTACGTGCGCTCGTGTACTACGTGCCAGCGCAACAAGTGGGAAAACCTGCGACCGGCCGGTCTTCTTCAACCGTTGCCTATTCCGTCACTTGTTTGGAGTGATGTCTCACTAGACTTTGTGGAAGGATTACCGAAGGTACACGGGAAAACTGCTTTATTGGTCGTCGTTGACAGGTTCTCCAAATATGCTCACTTCATTCCGATTTCGCATCCCTTCACGGCGGTTACGGTCGCCACTGTTTTCTTTGCGAACATCGTCAAGTTGCACGGTGTCCCGGAGAGCATGGTTAGCGACCGGGACAAGACTTTTACTTGCGCATTTTGGAAAGAATTGTTCAGACTCAGTGGTGTTACCTTGTCCTTTTCGACCGCATACCACCCGCAAACCGATGGCCAGACGGAGGTGACCAACCGTACGATAGAGATGTACTTGCGTTGCTTCGTGGGCGATCGCCCTCGCCAATGGGTGGAGTGGTTGCCGTGGGCGGAGTTTTGCTACAACACTTCGTTCCACACTTCGATCGGCACGACTCCTTTTCGAGTTGTCTATGGGAGAGATCCTCCCAAACTTCTGTCATATGAACCAGGCGTTTCAAAACTTGAGGCCATAGATGATCACTTACAAAGGCGGGATATGGTTCTGGCCGAAGTTCGTGACCGTTTGCGGCTTGCACAGGCCCGTATGCCCGCTTCTTATAATCATCATCATCGTGAGGTCCACTTCCAGTTAGGCCAGTGGGTCTGGTTACGTCTCCATCCGTATCGCCAACTGTCCGTTCGTCGCCATTTGTTCACTAAGTTGTCCCCTAAATTTTTCGGGCCGTTCCGTATTAAGAAATTGTTCGGTAAGGTGGCTTATCAGCTCGAGCTCCCTCCTGATTCTCACATCCATGATGTTTTTCACGTGTCCCTGCTTAAGGAATTCATCGGGGAGCCCCCTCACACCATTCCGGTGCTTCCGCCAGTCAAGGATGGTAAAGTTTTGCTTCGGCCTACCGATGTACTTCGCTCCCGGTTGAATCGTGGAGTGCCTGAGGTTCTGGTCCAGTGGGAGGGTGCCGCGCCTGAGGATTCCTCGTGGGAAACTGTTTCTCATTTCCAGGAATTATTTCCCGATTACAAGCTTGAGGACAAGCTTGATTTGCAGGGAGGGGGTATTGATACGTTCATTGGCAAAACATATCAGCGAAGGAAGAAGAAGGTGGCAGCAGCCTAGGACTTTTTCAAAATAAATATTTCCTATCTTCTTGTTTGTTAACGTTACTATTAGTTTGTTAACGTTATTATTAGTTTTGCTTCTCCTGCTTTCTAGGATAGGTTCTTTATTTCTTGTATTTAAGTCTCGCCATGCATGGGGGGAGATCATCTTGGATTTTATTTTTTGGCTTTCAAGTATATGAAAGATTGGGAGGAGAAGCACTCCAGAAACGCTTCAGTTCTTTTAACAATCTTGTGTCCACTAGCTATCATTATCCTTTGTTCTCTCTTATCTTTAACCATAGGTAGATCACCAGATTCCCCCGTCCCTCCGGCTCGCCACTCGAGTCCAGTCCGTAGGCCTGTGACGCGATCCAGCCCTGTAACATACAATCATTAAATTTGACCAAACAAAACCAAACACAATAAAAACAGGACATCAAAGAAAAAGAAAAGGAAAAAAAAAGCACCAAACTAGACACATAGCATACAGACAACTCATTTGATCAAATCACACTCAATACATAAAAGCAAAGTTACCTGGGTGAAGTCACCAGGATGACAAGAAGAATATAATAAGCCCTGCTCTTTGTTAACCATACTGAAAGAACACCTTTGAAAGAACTTCATCAATCTTCTTGTTATAATATGATCTCCATTTGTGGGACACCAAAAGTGGCACAAATATTCCTCCTACACCCACAGCAAATCCTAATGCAACACTGACATAGATATCACCATCATAAGCTGACTCTTTCTCTTCCAATTTTGGTGGTTTTTTAATGCCGCTGCAAGATACATTAAGTTGGAATCCACATAGCCCCTTGTTTCCTATGAATGAGCTTGCATCAAAGGTATTAAACTGTTTGCCTTGTGGGATCCTTCCAACCAGATGGTTGTATGATAAGTTTAAGAAGGATAGGAAGTTCAAGCTCTCTAGCTGCTCTGGGATATTTCCGGCTAGGTTGTTGAATGAGAGGTCAAGTGCTTCCAAAGCTTTCAAGTTTTCAAGAGATGGGGGAATATTGCCTGTCAGGGCATTGTGGGAGATGTTAAGGAGATAAAGTTGTGTAAGCTCTCCAATAATCTCTGGTATGGGCCCTTGAAATTGGTTACATGAAAAATCAATAGAGGTGAAGAGAGTCAGAATTTTTTCCATACTATATTCATTTCCTTTTACAGCAAGTGAAACCGAGTATTGATAGTTCCCACCCCAACTAGATGTGAAATAGAAATAGTCAGGCTTGGATTGTGTTGCATTCCTTTCAACTGCAATTGCTTTTAGTTCCAAGAATAAATCAGCTGGTAGGATTCCACTAAATGTATTGTTGGATATGTCAATGACTTGTAAGCTTGGCCAGCTGTTGTTTACCCCAAGCCTTGGACAAGAAATGTTTCCATGGAAATGATTAGAATGTAATACAAGTACGTGCAGACTCAACAATTTATTGAGCCAACAAGGAAAGGCATCACTTATCCTATTGCTTCCAAGATTTAAGACCTTAAGCTTTGTGCAGTTCACCAAGGATGGAGGAATCTTGCCATGCAAGTGATTCTGACTCAGATCCAATGTCTCTAAAGAGCAATTGTCTGGAAACATGTGTGGTATCTCACCACTTAGATAGTTTCCTTTAAGATTTAATACACTGAGAATGCTGTTATTTTGAAGCAGACATGGTTGGACCGTGCCGTGCAAAGTGTTGTTGGACAAGTCGAGCACTTCAAGAGAGGTTGCGTGGCACCATGAAGGGGAGATATTTCCGCTGACTCTATTGTTTGCAATGGAAAACAAAATGACATTTGGGTGTTGATCACCAATGTCAAGAGGCATGGAGGACAAATTGTTGTTGGAGAGGTCTATAAAGAGTAGGTTAGACTGGTTTTTCAGAAAAGTGGGAAATTTCTGCAGATTGCAGGAGGCTAACCTCAGATCTGAAAATTGAGGGAGGAAGGCTAGTTCTTTTGCTCCTATGTTTATATCAACTACCAAGCTATTATGGGAAAAGTCAAGAGATTTAAGTTTCCTAGGGTTTCTAAATTTGGTTAGATGTACAGTGCCATTAAATTTGTTTGATGAAAGATGGAGTGATACAAGATTCTGAAATTGAAAGAAGAAGGAAGGTATTGTCCCTTCCAAGTTGTTGTTGCTCAAATCAAGATATTGCATCGTCCGAGAAGTGACATCATTCTGCAAATCAATTATTTGACCAGAAAATTTGTTTGATGAAAGAGAGAGTGATGTAAGACATCGAAGTTGAAAGAAGAAGGAAGGTATTGTCCCTTCCAAGTTGTTGTCTCTCAAATCAATATCGTCTATCAGTTGAGAAGTCACATTTTGCAAATCAATTATTTGACCAGAAAATTTGTTTGATGAAAGATGAAGAGAGGAAAGATTGTGGAGTTGAAAGAAGAACAAGGGTATTGGCCCTTCCAAGTTGTTGTCACGCAAATCAAGAAATTTCAGTGGAGGAGTCACATTTTGCAAATCAATTATTTGACTAGAAAAGTTGTTTTCAGACATAGATAAGATTTGTAGTGATGGTAGGAAAAATAATGATGCTGGAATGGGCCCTGAAAATGAATTTTTATCCAAGTAGAGATTTTCAAGATTGTCAAGGCCATCCCAGTGAGAAGAAGGAATTTCCCCTGTAAAATCATTATGAGATAAATCTAAACAGGTTAGGTTCTTAAGTAACCTAAATGATGGAATCCAACCACTGAAGTGATTCACACTTAAACTCAGCACAACAAGCTTGGTAAGTTTCACAATAGAAGCAGGGATTGCTCCACTAAACTTACATTGTGTAAGGTCAATATGGGACAGTAGTTTGAGGCTTCCAATGGACTCAGGTAATTTCCCAGAAAACTTTGTATAAACAAGGTCTAGACGCCGAAGAGATCCATTTTCTGGAAAGTCTGGCAAAGAACCCCCAAGCATTTCATTGGAACTTAAGTCAATGATTTGCATAGTTGGTACCTGGAATACTTTCTGAGGGACTGTCCCAGTGAAGTTGCAATTGCTTAGGCTCAAAACAGTCAGATTCCTGAAATTTTCAAACAAGTCTGGAAATGGAGCAGAGAAATTGACGTTATCGAGCCTAATAACAGAAAGGGATGGCATTTTCTGCAAGAGAGATATGTTGAATCCACCGTTGATTAGCCCAAACCTGAGGTCAAGACCACTGATATATCCACCATCGTTGCAGCTCACACCAGGCCACTCACAGCAGTCAACTCTTTCATTCCACAGCGCCAGCTCCTCGGAGAATGAAGAGTCATAAGAAAGTTGACTTCGTATCTGGAGAAGTACAGACTTTTGATCCGAAAGACATTTCTGACCCAATGCATGCATGCCATTTATTCTGAATAAATTTGAGGAAAGAACAAGTATGGAAATCCAGATAAACATTATCACAATCCTCATTTTAATGTATGTTTAATTAATTTGCTGAAGCATATCAGAAACCATGGGTTAATGCAGCAATATATACTACTTTTTAGAATGTTTAAGACGTTTATAGCTTTCTGCATTCTTTTCATAAAGTATGTTGACTAACAAAAGGCACAACCCCACTTTCATACATTTATCATTTGTTCTTGCACCTAATTAAGTGTTTCAGAATTGAAAAGAAAGCCACATACAAATGTGTTGTTGGATGTTTAATTTATAGAGAAACGTTTTCTAAAGTTGCATGATCATGATGTGAAGTTGATGAGCTGAGTATTATGAAATACTTTCATGCAAGTTTGAATTTAGTTGGAGTTTGAGGAGTTACTGAATTAAAAGTGTTATCAGGATATAATTAGATGGATACCATAGACCACCTTGCATTATGTATCAAAACACTTCCTACATATACTTTCTACAAGTTCTTTATTACCCTGATTGAGCAACTTGTGTTTCAAATAAAACTTATGAGATATAAGAAGTAGAACACATCATTTGGGTTGCTACGACATGATTTAACAAGGAATGAAAAGTTTAAAAAAAATATCTCAGGATTTTCTTGGACTTATGCTTTTTTTTTTTTTTTTTTTGAAAGGTGGACTTATACTTAAATACATGCAAGTCCTAAAAATAGACAATAATGGTGATTTTAAAACTATCCTCACACTCGGAGATCATTGGTGGTTAAAGGAAGTTTTAAATTCAGAGATTTCAAAAACTTCTACTGCCCTAGCCCCTATGCAATACTGGTTTATGGCAAAACCTTTACTAACATGTTTGGTTCACGAAATGAATTTTAAGGGAATAAGAATACTTTTGTTGGTTCACTGAATGAATAAGCTTTATGAATGTTATTTCAGTATTTGGTTGGTTTAAAGAATATAAATGAAAGAGTGAATTCCATTTTTGGTCCTACTGTTATAGGGGCTTTTCCAATTTTAGTCCACTATAATTCTTTTTGCCACATTACGCCCACTGTTAATAAAATTGCTCCAATTTTAGTCTATTATAATTTTTTTTGCTACATTACGCCCACTGTTAATAAAACCGTTCCAATTTTTGTTCTCCTAATTCCGGTCATTGACCTGGATTTGTGGAGCCTGCGGCGGGTTATGTGAGAGCATGGAGACAAGAGCAACGGACTCGAAGGCGGAAATCAGGGACCAGACCACCGAATCGATGAAGGAGACCGAGATATCGACGTAATTCACCGCCGCCAGGCTACTCCACAAGCTTGAGCCGAGCCGTTGCCGCCGGCACCATGAGTACCGGTAGGAGCGAAGTAAGAGGCGAAGAGTTGTGGCTAGCGCATGAATGATGTAGGCAAAGAGAAGCTGTGACCAGGCCACTGCTCATTGACTGCCACCGCCGATCATCCACTAAACCACCATCTCGCTCCTCAAGCACACCACATCCATCTTCGTATCCGACCTCGACCGTTATTACATATTTAATGTTGTAAACTCTCCATGGATTGCTCCGATCCATCCAAAGCGAACGGAAAAATAAGCCTCGAATTAGAAGATGAGGATGAAGAAGAGGTTGAAGGCGGCGGCGGAGGAGGATGATAAGCCGCCATGGATGATGGGAAGGGAAGAGATTGAACAGGGCTTTTGTGTTCAGGACTTTTGATCTTCTTCAAAAACTTGCCTCCATTGCTGATCTTCTCTTTCAGAACCCGTTTGCTCCGTCACGGACGCCTTCGACTTTCCACCGTCCTCCGGCGCAACCATCACATAACCCGCCGCTTGTTCCACAGAAATCCAGGTCAATGAGCGGTGAGCGCCGACTCTCTCAAGAAAACAACAGAGACGGTTTAGGAGAACAAACATGGATTAAAAAGTCTCTTAGTGGCGGCAGAAAACAGATTGGAACACCATCGCCGGAAATTTCTTTCTAAATTAGGAGAACAAACTTGAAAAGACCAAAATGCCCTTGGATTAAACAATCTCTTGACGGAAAATCTTAACGTGGACTAAAATTGGAATGATTTTATTAACAGTGGGCGTAATGTGGCAAAAAAAAAAAAATTATGGTGGACTAAAATTGGAAAAACCCCTATAGTAGTAGGACCAAAAATGGAATTCGCTCTAAATGAAATATGTGTTTAAAAGACATAAATACCCTTACAAAAAATATAAAATATATAATAATAATAATAATCTTATTTTTTTTTATTAAATTGGAGGGAAATACCCAAAAAGCAACACTATTACAGACTACTAGGTTGACCATGCACACTACGCCAACTGGGGATACCAGAAAAGTCATCCTCTAATACACCTCTAGCCAAGTCCGGTGGATCAGATAACACATGTAAGCCAGCCGGGAGATTTCTGAAAAGCTTTTCCAGACAATTAACTACACGGTTTTGCTCACGAAGCACCTCTACAACCTACCAGACTTCGAATCTTTAGAGTTCCTTCTTGCAAGCTTCCAGTCTTGTGGTCGTGATTTGCATGCGCGTGTCTTGTTGTGGTCTTATAGTGTCATCAATACTGTTATGCCTCGAGTCTGATTATATCGTTGTGCGTGTGTCTTTGTTGAGTCATGATCTTGATTTTAAAGCTAGAGTTGTTAGGACTATATTTATGTATTCCCAAGTCTCAAAATGATTTTCCTATTTGACCCTTATTCCTATAAAATACATATCTAAACTTTAGTAACGAAATATTCCGTTGATTATTTATTATTCTTAATTTACTCATTGATTTTTATAAGGAAGATCTTAGGTTTAAACCACATCTCAATCATAATTGACATAATTGTTAAACATATACTATGAATATGTTAATTAGAGTGTATTAAAAAAATACAATATAAAATTTAACATGACCTTTGGTCAATTAATTAGAATCACGCATTGGGGATTGATGAAACGGTATACCTAATTTACAGTATATATTCAACACAGATAAGAAACTATGCTTATTATCATTGTCTTTATCGGAATCGAGGATTTGGTTCTGTTTTTGAAGGTGCATTATGCCAAGACACTAAAATTGCAGTGAAGCACACTAAGGGACTAGTTCAAATCAAGAATTCATTTCTGGCAGGAGTGACAACAAGAAAAAGCATGGATCAGACCAATTAATAAGGGTTTGTGTTGGCCAATTAACATGTAATGTGATGGCATCCCGATTATCCATCCAAGTGGATGGTCAAAGGTTTGAACTTAACCTAAAGTATAGAACAGAAAAACTATTCAGTGAAGGTGATATGAAAATTTTGATAATTCTAAATGATACTTTGATAGAATTTGAAATACTAATTTAAAAATACACATGGTACATCAAACTAATTTGATCCTCAAATTATTTAAAACTTTATCAATTAATTTAAAAATACACATGGTACATCAAACTAATTTGATCCTCAAATTATTTAAAACTTTATCAATTTCTATGCCGTGTTTTTTAGCAGAAGACTGGAACAACATTTTTTTTAACCCGAAGATTGCGCATCGTGTCTGTTAGTTTTTTCCTTTTCTTTTTCTTTATCCTTAATTTTCACTTTTCAGAAGATTGCCCACCGTGTATGTTGAGTAAAGAAATGTGGTTTCAGATTACCGGGTAGTGTTCCTGAATTCCTGTAACCCAATAAATAATACGGAGTATAAATCTTAAAAAAAAAAAAAAAAAAAAAAAAAAAACCAAAGTAATATAACGTACGTATTAATTTGAGCGTTTCTGCGCAAATTATATCGTGCACCACGATGTATGATCGATCATGCATCGCGCATCAAAATGACGTCATTTTGTTTAATGAAAAGAAACAGAATCTTCATTCGTAAAAAATAACTCTATTCTTCAGTTTCATTTTGTATACACTGCAATTTCAGTTCAACACAACTACAGTTTCATTTCGATATAACTACAGTTTCATTCAATATTTATACACTCAAATATGTGAAAATGTTATTTAATTTTATTTTATATACACTATAGTTTCATTAAAACACAACTACATGATCATTTCAATATAATTACAGCTTCATTGTACAATATATACTCAAATATGTGAAATGTTATTCAGTTTCATTTTATATATACTGTAGTTCCATTTCACCATAACTACAGTATCATTTTGATATAACTGCAGTTTCATTTGATAATATAAAAATAATACGTGAGACAGTGTCGGTTTAGACACACTGTAGTGTCACTCCGTTATAACTGCAGAAACGACGTCGTTTTGACGCGCGGTGCATAATGGTTAAATTTGAAAGTCGAAAGACCACAGATGATCAATTTGAAAGTTTAGGACTAAACGTGCCAAAATCACTATACTCGAAGAACCTCAGATGGTATTAACTCTTATCAGCTACCTTTTCAGCATAGAAAGTATCGCAGATTCTCCTCATACGCGACCCTTGTACAAGATTTGCGGATTCTCTTGTACAAGAGTCGCGTATTAGCATTTTTGTACTAGATGTTATCAGTTTCTAATGCTATATTCATTGCATGCTGAATTAATTAAGCATAACGTTAACAATTAGAAACCATATTATATATATATATATATATATATATATATATATATATATATATATCTTTCTGAGAACAACTCCGCTTGCCAGGAAGGGAATAACGTGCTCCCAAAGTGAGTCATAGCCAAATGTTTCTTTTTTGAATTATAAGTTAGAAATGAAGAAGCTAAGGAAAAACGTTGGTACAGAATAAAAATGAACTCAATACTTTATCTACGTTTTAAGTAAGGTTTCAAATAAAGTTTTCTTTTTTGAATTATAAGTTAATACTTTACTTTACATACACCTTAATTAATATGTACTGAATTTACCCTTGTACCCATTCTTTCCTTCTTTCTCTATATAAACATGCATTGCATGAGCAACCACCTTGCCATGATACATACTCCAACACAACAAGAACGTGCCGAGGTAACCTTACTCCTATCCAATTTTTCTTTATCTGTCTCTGTCATGTTTCATTAATCGGGGTTTAATCCCAGCAATATATATATATATATATATATATATATATATATATATATATATATATATATATACCTTACTCCTATCCAATTTTTCTTTATCTGTCTCTGTCATGTTTCATTAATTGGGATTTAATCCCAGCAATATATATATATATATATATATATATATATATATATATATATATATAGGGTCAGGTTCTGTGAGAACTGGTCTTTCCGTGCGGTCAGTGCGGCATACACCATTAGGTATGCATAAATGTAGCACACAATGTTCGAAAATACACCATTATGTGTAGTGTATTTTTTTTCGGGTGATGCATTTTTTGGCATTTCATTCTGGTGTATTCTCGAACACTGTATGGTGCATTTATGCATAACTAATGGTGTATGCCCCACTGACCACACGGGAAGACATGTTCTCACAGGAACCAATATATATATATATATATATATATATATATATATATATATATATATATATATATATATATATATATATATATGGGTAATTCTACATGTATTTTCATTTTATAATTCAATTTTCTATTCCTTATGATGTGATATGCTTTATTTAATTGCTTAATATAATAAGGGTCATGATTTTTATAGATTTTTTTTTTCTTTGATAAAATTTGAACACTTAATGTGAGTAAAAGTTGGGATAAGGTTTTTGGATCGGATTACGTCCACAAGTATTTTTGATATCATATATCTGCATGCCGTTAGCTTCTTCCAAACAACGTTTTCATGTTTGTGAATTTTGAAGTGATGATTGATTTTCAATTTTGCACTTTGAATGTATTTAGAGTTTATGTTATACATTTTTTTAAAATTTTTTGAAAACCCTGATCCTAACTTTTACTCACATTAAGTGTTCATTAAGTTTTTAAAATGGCTCATCTTAAGTTTCACACAACTAACTCACGTTAAGAATACAAATCACGCACCCTATGAAGGAAAACAACGCACCTTAAGTTTCAATAACTACTCACATTAAGCACAAAACTCACGCACCTTAAGCACAAAATACACTCACTTTAAGAAGAAAAATCACGTACTTTAAATTTCAACAACTACACACATTAAGAACACACACAACCCACGCACCTTAAGCACAAAACCCACACCCCTTAAGCACAAAACTCACGCGCCTTAAGAATGAAAATCACACACCTTAAATTTGACCTAGATGCAAAAATTACCAAATTGCCACTGTGTTTTTTTATTTTTTTATTTTTTTATTTTGGTAATCCTGGACATTGATTTAAGCAAGATCAATGGCACAGATTTAACCACGCAACCGCACATGGGAGCACTAATCACATTTGAACCTAATTTTATATATATATATATATATATATATATACTCCCTCCGTCCCGTTTTGTGTGTCTGGTTCGGTTAACGATGCTTGACTAAAGTTATTTTTAATTCAATTTTTCATAATATTAACTTTAGTATTAGTATACAAAATTTATATATTTAGAAACTACACTAAAAATACTTTTAAACACAAAACATCAAATTTAAAATTAAGTAAAAAATACTAATGAAAATAAACAAATAAGAAAGAGTTGGTTTGACCAATGAATAGTAAGTAGGACAGATAAAATGGGACAGAGGGAATATATATATATATATATATATATATATATATATATACTAGTTTTTTTTACGCGCATTGCGCGATTGGGATAATGCCCAATTTTTTTTAAAATAAGTACTTTAAAGTATATTAAGGCATGATTATATTGGAATTTTCATGCATACATAATTGAATGTTGAATTTTCATATTTAAATAGGTAATTCTAAGTTTATAAATGCAAGATAATATAGTCAAGATTGATTATAATTGTTAATATTATAATTGTATTGGTATGGTTGAAACCAAATACGACATAAGGGAGAGCAAATAAAAATTAGGGTATAAAATATTAAATATATACTAATATTGAAGAGCTAACGGCTAATTGTCAAACAAGAACATTGCAAGGTAGTTTCCCACCTCAATTTGTTGTGTGATTTGAATACTCTTTTTATCAATAAATTCTCAAAGTAGTTAATATTTTTTTTTGAATATCTCAAAGTAGTTAATATGATTGGCTTAATTATATATATATATATATATATATATATATATATATATATATATATATATATATATATATATATATATATATATATTTATTTATTTATTTTAAACAATTATTATTATTATTATTATTATTATTATTATTATTATTATTATTATTATTATTATGTATACCCTTAGGTCATTTTACATGTTAATCTAAACAGCTAATTTTTACCAACCGTTGATATAATTCGCTGGTCAAATTCGCTAACGCTAACCGCTAACTGCTGATTGTTAAACAATGACATTGCGAGGTAGTTCTCACTTCAATTTGTTGTGTGATTTGAATACTCTCTTTGTAAACAAATCCCGTAGTTAATATGATTGGTTTTATTAATTATGTTTTTTTTTTTAATTTTTTCATGGTATTAATAAAATACCTGGTAAATAATATATAGCATTATTTTGTATTATAACTTTGATATTTAATTAAAAAATAGTGCACAAAAAAGATAATAGACAATGTAGTGAATATAATCAATTGATGAATTTGAATGTAAACTATTTTTACGTTGGAGAAATATAAAGACAATATAACTAATAAAATTATTTCTCTTAATTAATTTATTGAGAATGAATAATTTTTTTTAATAAAGACATTGTAGGGACAATGTAGCGAATATAATCAATTGATGAATTTGAATGTAAAGAATTTTTATATTGGAGAAAATTAAAGACAATATAACTAATGAAATTATTTCTCTTATTTAATTTATTGATAATGAATAATTTTTTTTTTGAATAAAGACATTGTTGACACATAATTCTAAATTAAAGAAATGCATATGTATTATTTTTTGTTGTAGCTACTAAATTATTATTTAATTTAATAAGAGTAAAATATAGTACTAATTATGCCAACTTTGATTGAGATGGGGTTCGAACCTAAGACCTTTCTTATTAAAATCAATGAGTAAATTAACGGTGAACTAACATAAATTAACAGAAAAGTTTATATTTAACGGAAAAGTTAACGGATAATCATATTCATTAAGGATAAATTAGGAAATCTCTAAGGAAAAACTAAAATCTGATCAATTTGAGCCATTCATTTGATAAAAAAATTTGACCGCCATTTTTTCTACCCATTATAGGCCTAACTCTCTTGGGCTCTTATTAGTATAGTAGATATATACACTAGTGATCAAATGAGTCCATCCTGTTATATGAGTCCGTGTGGCCATTGAATGCTTGAGGTGCGTTGGTGCGGTTAAATCTGAGCCATTGATCTTGCTTAAATCAACATCCAGGATTACCAAAATTTAAAAAAAAAAAAAAATACGCGGTGGCAATTTGATAATTTTTGCATCTAGGTCAAATTTAAGGTGCGTAGGTTTTGTGTTCTCAAGGTGTGTGGGTTGTGTGCTTAATGTGAGTATTTGTTGAAACTTAAGGTGCGTAGTTTTTGTCCTTAAGGTGCATGAGTTTTGTGCTTAAGGTGTGTGGGTTTTGTGCTTAATGTAAGTAGTTGTTGAAACTTAAGGTGCGTGATTTTTCTTTTTAAGGTGCGTTGTTTTCCTTCTTAAGGTGCGTCAGTTGTGTGAAACTTAAGGTGAGTCATTTTAAATCTTTAGGTGCGTGGTTTGTGTTCTTAAGGTGCGTGGTTTGTATGTGTACTTAAGATGCGCCATTTTAATGTTTAAAGTGCATAACCGCATGGGAATCCTTCCCAGCACCTTAACCCTTCCCAATATATATATATATATATATATATATATATATATATATATATATATATATATATATATAATTATTGACTTGTTGTTCATCTGATCCCCTAAGGAGTGGAGTACTAAATGGCGTTGGCGACATATGTATTTGGATATGTGAGGGACTTGTGGAACAGATGGAACATCCAAGCCGCCATGCTGGCCAGTCTTGTTATTCAAATCATCTTGATTTTTTCTGCACGCTCAAGGAAACGAACCAAGGACCACCTGAAGATCTTCGTGATATGGTCGATTTATCTGCTGGCTGACTTTGTTGCCATATTTGCAATAGGCCTCATATACAATGAAGCCAGACCAACGTATATAACTACCGCTGACGTGGCCGCCGTGGGGGAGATTGCTGCTGCAACCCAAGCATGTTCTTCTTCATGCGATATTGCTGCTAGCCGCCGACAGCCAAAACACATCGCGGCATTGTGGGCACCGTTTCTCTTGCTGCACTTGGGCGGCCCTGACACCATCACGGCTTTCTCTATTGAAGATAATGAGCTGTGGGATCGCCATTTGCTCAAACTCATCGTTCAGCTTGTTACGGTTTTGCTGCTTTTCTTCCGCTACCAAACATTCGACGCCCACAATAATCCATTCTTGATCCCAACACTACTCATCTTTGTGGCTGGCTTCATCAAATACGCTGAACGAACCTATTCCCTCAAACTTGCTTCTCTCACCAATATGATGAAGTCGATGAGCCCCAAACAACCGGAAAAGATGCCGCCATCTGTGATGATTGAGGTGGGCGGTCGTCATCAAGAAGTCTCCAATAATAATATTATTAATCTGACAGACACGGAGGTAGTGGAACATGCATTCAAGTTTTACAAGATATTTAGAGGGCTTGTTGTTGATCACACGTTTGGTTTTGACGAGTGGAAACACAGCAAGAGTTTCTTCTCCAAGTTAGAGAGTGAAAACGCTTTCAAAGTGATGGAAGTGGAGCTCAACTTCATGTACGAAGCCATGTTCACCAAGATGATTACTGTCCAAGGCAAGATTTTAGGCTACACATTTCGCCTTGCCACCATTTTTCTAATTGTAGCAGCCACTGTGTTTTTTGTGGTATTCATCCCCAAGAACGGAATTCATCACCTTGACCTCAAGGTTACGCATTGCTTGCTTGCTGGCGCCGTTATCTTAGATGCCATAGCTCTCATAGAGTTATTTTTTTCAGACTGGACTGTAGCTCTGATACTGCTGAGCAAGCAAAGATGTGAATGGTTAAAACAATGTGCACAAGGAATTAACAAAGTCTGCAAGTGGATTTCGAGCAGGAGGCGTTGGTCCGGGAAGATGTATCAGTATAGCTTCATCAACCACTCACTAAAGAAACAATGGAAATGGGTCAATATCATTCTTGATTACTTTGGGCTCAAGGAGAGAGTCTACTCATATTTATACACTAAAAGACAGCCAGTTACACATCAACTGAGGGAGTTAATTTTCAATGAGGTTAAAGAAATTGCAACACAGACAACAGCCGTTGCAAATGAGATAATTTTGTCTAGAGGCAAGCGGACTCTCCTTGAATGTAACTGCGGAGAATCAATCATGACTACGGTGGGGCAAGATGTGGGGTTCATTCAAAGTGTGTTGTTGTGGCATATTGCTACTGAGATATGCTACTTTAATTTTGGTGGTTACAGGTATTATGATGATGATGATGATCCTGAAATATGTAGATATATCTCTGAATATTTGTTGTACCTTCTGGTGATGGAGCAGAAATTCACCTCAGCATTAGCAGGAAACTTTGAAACTAGAGATACGTGTGAGAAAATCGTAGAAACCACTTTCAAAGATACCCATGAGGAAGCCTGGAATTTCTTTATTGCTAACACAAAGCAAAATCCGGAACTATTCAAAAGATATGCATCATTTCTTAGGTCTAACAATGTTGTCCTAGATATTTACATTTGCTTGAGGAGCATGTGGTTTTCAACGAGGTATGCGATACGGTACATAGCTAAGCTGATATGTTTTTTCAACAAGGATAGTACAACTCATCGGGAGATGACGACATTATGGGAGGAATGGAAGATGATGAAAAATTATAGGGAAAGAAAATCTGCTTGTGAATCATTAATTGGAAAAGCTACCCTTCGACGACAAGAGCCATCAGAGGTGAAAGGGAGAAGTAAATCAATGTTGATTGATGCGTGTATCCTTGCAAAGGATTTGCAGGATTTTGGGATCGACGACCAGAAACAAATGTGGAAGATGATGAGAAGCGTGTGGGTGGAGTTGTTGTTATATGGAGCATGCCATTGTAGAGGAGATGCTCATGCTCAACAACTTGCTAAAGGTGGGGAGCTTCTCACTTTTGTTTGGCTTTTAATGGCTCATTTTGGACTTGGAGAGCAGTTTAGATTTCAGACAGTCGGGACAAGCTAAAGCCAAAATATATATAATAGTTGTGAGATTGGAGTTCAAACTTCAAAACACTCATGTTGTTTGATACCTGATTAGAATTTAAAATTATTACTATGTGGATGGGATTTAATCTAGGGTTAAGTAAATTCTGTTAGGACTGTATTGGTTGTGTTAGACTATGACTCTCTCTCTCTCTCTCTCTCTGTATTCTTATATGACTATCTTCCGTCTTTGGTTAATGTTATGTTAAACATTCATATCCTCATCTGGTATCAGTTATTCAGGTTATCTTCCATGACAGTTCTCGGTGTGAATGATGACGGTTCTGTTCGTGACTCTACGGAGCAGACCGTCACCGAGGTTGCTCCCTCTCTCGTTTCAGCCAGTGCTAGCCTTTCCTCTGCCCATCACTTCGTCTCTCTAAAATTAATCGAACGAAACTATTTATTTTGGAGGACGCAGGTGATTCCATTCTTGGAAGGTCAAGGCCTGCTGGGGTATGTCGACTGGACGTTGCCTTGCCCGGTTAATTCACCGTCGGCAGCTTCGACAGCGGACAGTGGTGGTGTCGTTGTTCCAGACCCGCGGCAGCAATGGCGTCGTCAAGACAATGCCATTCTGTCGCTCCTCATCTCGTCTCTCTCCTACGAGACCATGCACCTTGTGGTCGGCCGGTCTTCCTCTCGGCTGCTTTAGCTCGCGATTGAGCAATCTCTTGGCACGTCGACCAGGGCTCAGGCTTTACGGTTGCTTGGTGAGCTACAAGGGTTGCGCCATGGTGATTCTTCGATTTCAGACTACCTTGGCCGCGCTCAAATGCTGGTGGAAGACTTTGCTCTCGTTATTCAGCAGGTCACATTGGACGATCAGAATCTTTATATCTTTCGTGGCTTGCGTCTTGAGTATCGTCCATTGGTGGCCTCTTTGACGCGGGGAGCTCCAGTAACCTTAACGGAGTTGGCTGATTTTTTGATTTCGCAGGAGTGGATTTGTGCAGATGATGGCAGTGGCTTGGGCGCACCGGCGGCTTTGGCGGCAAGTCACGGTGGTCGTGGAGGCTGCGGGGGCAGTGAGCAGTCCCGCAGCAATGGTGGTCGCAGGCGCTCTCGGTCTGGCCCACGGTGTCAAATTTGCAACAATCAAAGTCATACCACTCTCTCATGTTATCGCCGTTATTATGACTCGTCGGGTCCTCAGGCAAACGTGGCGTCTTCCGCAGAGGTTACATGTTCGGGCTTGGTTGGTTCTCATCATTGGTTTCCCGATACTGGGGCCACGAATCATGCTACTCTCGATGCCTCCGTGATGTTCTCCTCTGCTGGTTATGATGGTCCGGATATTCTCCGAGTTGGCAGTGGTTTAGGTTTGCCTATTGTTAATGTTGGTTCCGCTTCGATAGTTACTAGTTCTAGGTATTTTAAGTTATGTGATGTGTTGCATGTTCCTAGTCTTTCCTCTTCATTATTGTCGGTTCAACGGTTTGCTAGAGATAATAATGTTTTCTTTGAATTCCATCCTTCTTGTTTTTATGTGAAGGACATTACGACCAAGACGGTCCTTTTTAGATGGTCTGCTTCGGGGGGTTTGTACACCTGGCCTGCTTCGCGTCAAGTTCCTGCTGCGTTCGTGGTTGCACGTGCATCGTCATTTGTTTGGCATATGCGGCTTGGTCATCCCCATTCATGTGTCTTACGTCAAATTTTAGGGTCTTCGTCTGTTAGTTCTTTTAATTCTAGAGATTTACCGGTTGTTTGTTCTGCTTGTCAATTGGGGAAATCTTCTTGATTCCCTTTGTCTCGTGTTGAAAATTCTAGTACGCATGTTTTGGAATTAATATATTCGGATATTTGGGGCCCTACGCCGTTAACTTCTACAAATGGTTATAAATATTTTGTTCTGTTTGTAGATGATTATACGCGTTATGTTTGGTTTTATCACATGCGTGCTAAATCCGACCTGTATGCTATCTTTGAACGGTTTTGGTCATTAGCTGAATGCTCTTTTTCTTGCAAAATTATTTCTTTTCAGTCTGATTTAGGGGGAGAATATAAAAAGCTTGATTATGCTTTAGCTTCTCTTGGTTTTCGGCACAGGCAGTCCCGTGCATATACCCACGAGCAGAATAGTCGGGTAGAACGTAGGCATTGGCATGTTGTTGAGACGGTGTTAGCTTTAATGGCACAAGCGTCTGTTCCCTCTCGTTTTTGGGACTACGTTTTGAAACCATTGTTTACCTAATAAATAAAATGCTTACTCGTGTCTTGTCTGATGAGTCTCCTCGTTTTCGTTTGCATCGTTCTCCTATGTCGTATTCTTTCTTGCGCGCGTTTGGGTGTTTGTGTTTTCCTCTATTACGTCCTTATAATCGTAACAAGTTGTAATTTCGGTATTCTCTATGTGTCTTTTTAGGGTAACCTGATTCCTTTCATGGCTATCGTTGTTTGGACACTAACACTAACATCTGTCGCCATGTGCGGTTCGATGAAACCATTTTTCCTTTTGCTTATTCTGTTGCTTCGTACGTTGTTCCATCGCAAGCAGTCTCGTGGGGTGTTGTGCCTGTATCGATAATGCGAGACACGTTGGGCAGTCCGGCCGAGGCGTCCAATGACCAGCATGTCTCTTCCGCGCCGGATCAGCCCGCTCAGTGTGACTAGCTTGCGCCTTCCGTGCCGGCTTCGGTCTCCAGTGAGCACACGGTTAGTGTGCAGCATCCCCATGGTGGCCGTGTGCGGCGTTTCGCCAAAGCTCAGCAACCTCGGTCTCATGTTATGGCTACACGAAGTATGGGTTCGCATGAGCATGTTGCGTTGGTTGCTGCTACTAGTACTACTGAGCCGACTTGTTACTCTCAAGCCGTGAAACATTCTGAGTGGCGTGAGGCCATGGATTTGGAGTTTAATGCTTTGCTTTAGAATAGTACGTGGCGGTTGGTTCCATATACTCCTGGAATGAATGTTGTGGGCTGCAAGTGGGCGTTTCGAACTAAGAGGAATGTGGATGGTTCGGTTGAGCGGCATAAAGCTCGTCTGGTGGCGAAAGGTTTTAATCAAGTTGCGGGGCGGGATTTCTTTGAGACTTTCAGTTCAGTGGTTAAGCCGACGACGGTATGTCTTTTGTTATCTTTGGTTGTTTCATGCAGTTGGGCGATTCGTCAGTTGGACATTCATAATGCCTTCTTGAATGGCCACCTGACTAAAACTGTTTATATGTGACAGCTGCCTGGCTATGAGGACAAGCCTTTGCCTGGTCATGTGCGTTTGCTTCAGCGGTCACTTTATGGGCTTAAGCAGGCTCCTCGTGCTTGGTTCACGCGACTACACAATTGATAAATGCTATAGATACCACATTTTAGGGGTCATTAAGGGGTTGTATTATGCTTAATTAAAGTCATTTGTGAATGATTTATGATGCAAATTCTATAAAATGGGCTAATGAGTTGCATATGCCCATAAACTTGTGCACTTTAGTGTTTTGAAGGTTTTGAGCGTAAAGAAGGGCATTCTAGCGACAGTTCGGTAGATTGATCATATCTTGAGCTAGGAGTGTCCAAATGAGGTAATTCAAGTGGCATTGGAACAGAAACTTCAAGAGCTACAACTTTGATAAAGACAAAAATGGCAGATTCCCATCCACGCATAGCCCCACGCGCGTGGGACCGTGAGTGGATAGGGAATAGAAAGTTCCACGAATCCGCCCACGTGTATGGAAAAATTAGTGGGTCCTGAGCGAAAATTACAGCTATTTAAATAGCTTGTGGCGGGATTTCTTGGATATTCTTTCATTTTTCTGACTTTTCCACTTAGAATTTGAGAGATCTTTCTCTCTCTAGGTTAGATACACTTCTTGATCAAGCCATATCTTCAATTCTCCAATTCCTAGCAAGGAGATTTCAAGTATTGTAGGAGGAATTGACAACTTCTCTTGTAAGCTTGGATTGTCTTCTTCATTGATGTTGGATTGCAATTGCTATTGAGTAGGTAACTTCATTTGCATTTAATTCTTCTAATTTCCTACATTGATTGCTCAATTACTTTTGTGATTCAATCTTAGATCAAATGCTTGGCTAGAATCCCTTTTGTGAATTGGATCCTACTTCATTGTGTTGAATGTGTAATTGATCTAGGTACTTGTGATTATGTGATGAATGTCTTGTTGTAAGAGGACCTTGTATGGACTTATTGTATGTGAGTGTACCACATACATGTAGGTTTGAGGAGGATTAAGCTAACAAGAGATTGTAGCTTGATCCTAAGCTCATCCTTCTTGCATTTCTCAACTCTAAAGATCCGACAGGCAGGAGATGGGAATGAGATGTAGACAATGTGTTTGTTGAAATGCTCCTTAGGACCATGGTCACTTAAAGGTGCTCCATACCAAGGAAATGCCTAGTAGACCTAGAGGTGAACGGTATTGGAAGTCATCTCACATAGACTCCTTCACCACTAGTTGCACTCCTAGGTTGATTCACTTCACACACACACAAGGGATAGGAATTCCAATTCACTCCATCCTTATTTGTATAGTTTGTTTTGTTTCCTTGCACATTTTCCTTGTTGTATTCCTTGCCTCCTTGTACCATGCATTCATCTAGCTTCCTTATACAAATGTATGCTTGAGCTTGACAACACAATAGTCAATTCCAATTGTCCATCCTTTGAGAACGACATCCCGGAAGTCTTCATTCCCAACCTTCTTTCCATCCACCGCTAAATTACACACGTCAACAATTTTCTGGTTTTGGTTAGTTTTACTCCCTCTAAGACCGATGTGTCTATGTTTATTTACTCTCGTGACATTGTTTAGCTTTATTTCTTAGTTTATGTGGATGACATTCTGGTCATGGGGTCTGATTTGACCCGTGTTATTGGTCTTGTTGATAAGTTGGCTTTGGAGTTTAAGGTGCGTGACATGGTGCACCGTCGTTCTTTCTTGGGATAGAGACGGTGCCTCTGTCTGATGGCATGCTCTTGTCTCAGTAGCGGTACATGAAGGATATTCTCAAGCAGGCTGGTATGGTTGATTGCAAGCCTGTGTCTACTCCAGTGTCGCTTGCTAAACCTGTTGATGATCATCCGATTCCTTATGCTGATCCTACTTATTTTCGGAGTCTGGCGGGTGCTCTTCAGTATCTTACGGTGACTCGTCCAGACTTCTCTTATGTTGTTAATTGTTCATGTCAGCATATGCATGCACCCACCGCGGCAGATTGGGCTGCGCTCAAGCATGTTTTGCGGTATGTTAACGGTACTTTACATTTTGGTCTTCGTGTCTGTAAATCTGTGTCTGTTGACATTCACGCTTTTTCTGATTCGGATTGGGCTGGTAATCCGGATGATTAGAAGTCTACGAGTGGTTTTGCAGTCTTTTTGGGTAATAATTTTGTTTCTTGGGTGTGTCAGAAGCAACGAACTGTGGCTCGTTCGTCTATTGAAGTCTGAAGCTGAGTATAAGGCGTTAGTTGACGTGTCTGTAGAGGTTACTTGGCTTGTTTCGTTGCTGAAAGATATTGGCTTACCTCCTACTACATCGCCCAAGTTATGGTGTGACAACTTGGGTGCCACTTATTTATGTGTCAATCCGGTTTTTCATGCCCAAACGAAGCATGTTGAGATTGATTACCATTTCGTTCGTGACAAGGTGTCCAAGAAGGAGTTCCAGGTTCATTTTATTTCGACTAAAGACCAGTTAACTGATATATTTACGAAGCCTCTTTCGTCTTTACGTTTTAGTTTTTTTTTTTTTTTTTTTTTTTTCGTGGAAAGCTCAATGTTTTGGCTAGCCAATCTTGTGCTTGAGGGAGAGTATTAGGATTGTATTGGTTGTGTTAGACTAGGACTCTCTCTGTATTCTTATATGATTATCTTTCGTCTTTAGTTAATGTTATGTTAAACATTCCTATGCTCATCAATTCAAGCCTGCATGCATATATGTTTCCAATTTAAGTTGTATATATAGTAGTTGGTCATAGTGATTGTTCTATGATGCTAGCTTTTGCATGTTTATTTTTGTTATCAATTTCTTATAGCAAGCGTATGTGTTATTAATGATTCATGAGTATGTAACAAATCTTAATTATAATAAAGCCATATGGTCTTGTGAAAATTAAATATTGATATTAATAGTTAAATGTTGGTATTAATAACATTTAATTTCTACAAGACCATATGGCTTTAAGAAGCATGCATGCACACCACACGTGCAACCCCAAAGTCTATAAGTTTGAAATTAATATATAGCATAACTAGGCGGCCTAATATTTAAGATTGTTGATGTGCATATCGAGGACTACGGAGACAAAGATGCGTTATTCGTGGATTCATCGGATACTATCCAACAACACTCTCCAACTTAATTGACGTGAAGTAGGCTTAGTAACATTAAGATTATATTCTCGAATTATTAGTTCTCATCTTTTATTGATTACACACTTAATTCGATAGTATTTGGAAGAAAAAATCAATGTTTGAACTAAGATTGTGATTGTTTGGTCTTTAAAGGTCAATTATATGTTGCTACATCTAGAGTTAGAAATCTCAAAGGTCTAAAAATTTTGATCCGTGGTGACTCTAAAATTGTAATTCAATTACTATTGTAGTTTACTAAGTTTTTAAAAATTTGTAATATTAAATACTATGTAGTAAATTTTTAATATAGTTTAAGATTTGTAGTAATCACCCACCTTAAATATTATTTTAATTGTAAATATATTTATGTTCATAATTTTATCATAGGAATTCACACATAATAATTATTAAATGACAAAAATTATATATATAAATAAACCTCATATATGGTATATTTTTATAACATATTTTCTGTGCATTGCACCGGACAAATACTAGTAATATTTATAGTGTGATTTATATCTTTTGTATGATTTATAGATTATTACATAAAATCAAGTCATATTGTGCATATTTTCTAGACAGGTTTCTATACTCATTAAAAAAAACTATCCATTTAATTTTAGAAAAATTGTTATTTATACCTCTAAAAAATGTGTCAATTATCAATGTCATTTTTGAATTATTAGTTATATAAATGTTGTCACTCAATTTTTAAAACGTGACATATATTACCCATTCCTTAAATTATTAGTGGTTTAAATGTGGTTACTCGTCGTTTCACTTGTTCGAAGACCACATTTTTTTTTCCTTTCATTTTATTTCTTCGTTTGTTCTCCTTCCGCCAACAAAAATGTTTCTCCTTCTTCCTATTAGAAAAGGAGTTAATATATGTCCTTTTTTAAAAATTGAAAAATAATATTTACATTATTAATAATTTAAGGGTGACGATAATAATTGACTTATGTATAAGAAGCATACATTACAATTTTTCCTTTTAACTTTTTCAAATGCAAAGAAATTCATATGTGTAGACATGATATACGCTTGCTTTCACAATCTTTGCACGCACAAAAACACGTCTCCTCATTATGCAATATTGTGTAAAATAGTTCTCGATGAGTTGTACTATATGTATTCACAAATTTTACTCCTTTAAATTTATTTGTAGATGTGGTAGACGTTAATATGTTATTTTCTTCACATGAATTCCAGTAAAAGTTATAATATTCAAATTTTATATGTGAAATAAAAGTTAGAAGTAGAAAATGAGAGTATTTCATTCTTGATATCTTTTATCATTAATATAAAATTAATTTATCAAAAACAAAATATACTTACGAAAGAAAAGAATGTTGATTTTTAAGATATATTATTAAAAATATAAATATATACTCACAAATTTTACTCCTTTAAATTTATTTGTAGATGTGGTAGACGTTAATATGTTATTTTCTTCACATGAATTCCAGTAAAAGTTATAATATTCAAATTTTATATGTGAAATAAAAGTTAGAAGTAGAAAATGAGAGTATTTCATTCTTGATATCTTTTATCATTAATATAAAATTAATTTATCAAAAACAAAATATACTTACGAAAGAAAAGAATGTTGATTTTTAAGATATATTATTAAAAATATAAATATATACTCACAAATTTTACTCCTTTAAATTTATTTGTAGATGTGGTAGACGTTAATATGTTATTTTCTTCACATGAATTCCAGTAAAAGTTATAATATTCAAATTTTATATGTGAAATAAAAGTTAGAAGTAGAAAATGAGAGTATTTCATTCTTGATATCTTTTATCATTAATATAAAATTAATTTATCAAAAACAAAATATACTTACGAAAGAAAAGAATGTCGATTTTTAAGATATATTATTAAAAATATAAATATATACTATTTTAAATAAAACTGATTGTAGTAAAAAAATGATTGTAATATTTTATAAATAAAACAAAAAAGGCGTATTTTTGGGTATGTTATTTTAATAAAATATAGTAATGACTTGTAAGTATAAATTTATAAACAATCGTTATACCCTACACCAGGCCGCGCCTCCCAAACGACGTTGTTTTGGGAGGCGCGGTAGAAAGTTGCTGGGATTATGTGTATTTGTTCACACAGTTATGTGTATTTGTTCATACAGTTATGTGTATTGGTTCATACAGTTATGTACATTTTTTATACAATTATGGAAATTCTTTTTATACAATTATGTACATCCGAATCAGAAAATTTGTGTGTATTATGTTAATAGTTGATGTGTATTATGTTAAAAGTTTATGTTTATTATGTATTATGTTAGATTATGTGTATTATCTTTTAAAAAGAGTACGTATATTTTGTTATATAATTATGTACATTCATGTATACAATTATGTGTATTCTAGTATAACATTATGTATATTCTTGAACAACGGTTTTTTTTTTTTTTTAAGAAAAAACTACTGCCATTCACTGGGACGGGAAATTTCAAAGAAAAAATAAATTAAAACGACGTCATTTTGCATCTGGGCGCATATTGCAACGCGCGCCGTGATGTAGGATATAAATTGCCATCAATTTTCAATACAAAAAAAAGAATGTTATAATAATCTGATAAAATGGAATGGCTCAACTTGGGTTTTATGATCGGCTGGCTAACTGCATTAATCATTGACTTGAAATTAGTTTGGAATTTGGAGTTTGGAACGGTGTTGATGGCCTCGGAGATAGCGGTGGTGGAGGATGAGATCGAGTTTGAGCAACGATGTCTATACGTCGGCGGCGTATGGAGACAAGGAGAAGCTTCAGAGATTGGTAGAGAGCGAGGGTTACTCAATCTCCGACCCTGATGGCCACTTGTCTGCTCTCAACAATCGCACTGCGGCGGCTCAGTACATCATTGAGGTGTTTTAAACACTAAATTCTATAGTTTAATTTGCAACGTACAATTCCATCATATTAGCATCTTCGTTCTTCAATTCGTTCCCTCAACCTGCATTATTGTTTTTCCTAAGCTAGCTTCTTCTCTTCTGGAAGCGTTTGAGCTGTAAATTATTATTATTTTTTGTTTAATTTATTGAACTAAAGAAAATTGCCAGAATCTGAATTATATATGTGCACCTTTGTTAAATTTCTACTTTATTTGTAAAGTTTTTAATAAAATGCATCAGGAATTACAGGCAGGAACTAGTTGAAATTGGACATTATTTGCTCATGTACCAATGTGGAGGCTGTGATATTCGTACAGTTTAGAAATATAGGTTCAGTGTATCCATTCAACCTTGAGAGTTGAGATGAGGGTTATATGCTGCAAGGTTTCCTTTCCTTTTTTTTTTTTTTTTTTTTTTTTAAAAAAAAAAAAATCTTTTTCTTTTCTTGAATTTCTTTGCCATTGTGGTACTGTTTTTTAATTTGTCCAGTTAGGATTCAGCCTAAACATGCTGCTCTTTGGCTAATATTTTTATTTTTGTATGGTGATATCATTTTTACAGAAATAATATGATGATATCATTGGCAGCATGGTGGAGATGTTAATGCTGCAGATCATACAGGACAAACAGCATTACACTGGACTGCAGTTGAAGGTGCAATCCCAGTTGCAGAGATTTTACTCCAAGTGGGTGCTCGCATAAATGCTATGGATATGTATGGTTATCAGGTATGTATTTTGGATACTTTTATTGTTTAATTATCCAGGGTCTCTTTACCAACACAATTATTCCAAACCTTTCTTAGGGCTTCTCGATGCTTAAAGGCTCACGCACTAGTCAGAACGTGACAACAGAAAATTATCCTAAAGGCTCTTATACCATGTTACAAAAGTAAAGAGAAGATTTCTGAATATGTTGTCGTATAGAAAAGATAATACAAAGCCCTATAAATACACGCTAGAAGATTTCGAAAAAAGAAACAAGTTTCCATATGCATACCTACCTAAATCCCTAAGACTGCATAATCTATAGAGATTCCATATATTGGCCCTGTTTGGTAAAAAGTTGGCCTATAGGCCAATTTTGGCTTATTTGACCACTATTAATTGTTTGATTTAGTTAAAATATCAATATAAATGTTTGATTAATTAGCTTTTTGCAACTTCAAAAGGCTAAAATTGAAAAAGCTACCCCAAGTAACTTTTTCAATTAGCTTTTTTAGAAAAGAAATTATACCAAACAGCTAACAGCTAATTTACCAAACACTTTTCTACAATCAGCTAATGTTATCAACTATTTATACCCTCTAATTAACAGCCATTTTACCAAACAGGGCCATTATATATATTCCATAACAAGCACCAAACCAGATACCTAGCTTACAGACAACTCAGTTGATAAATCACACTCAATACATAAAAGCAAAGTTACTTGGGTGAAGCCACCAAGATGACAAGAAGAATATAAGCCCTGCTCTTTTGTTAACCATACTTCTTTCTTCTCCCCTGAAAGAACACCTTTGAAAGAACTTCATCCATCTTCTTGTTATAATATGATCTGCATTTGCTGGACAGCAAAAGTGGCACAAAGATTCCTCCTAGACCCCCAACAAATCCTAAGACAATGCCAGTGTAGATCTCAGCATGGTAAGATGATTCTTCCTCCTCTAGTTCTGGCAGTGGAGATGCTGGTTCTTTATTATTGCCACTACAAGACACATGAAGTGGGAATCCACATAGCCCCTTGTTTTTCACGAACGAGCTTTCCTCGAAGGTTTTAAACTGGTTGCCTTGTGGAATCCTTCCAACGAGATGGTTGTAAGATAAGTTCAAGAAGGACAAGAAGGTTAGGCCTACAAGCTGGTCCGGGATATTTCCCGTGAGGCTGTTGAAGGACAGGTCCAGTGCTTCCAAATCTTTCAAGTGTCCAAGAGATGGAGGAATATTGCCTGTCAGGGCATTTTGAGAGATGTTAAGGAGACGAAGCAGTTTAAGCTCTCCAATGGTCTCTGGTATGCTCCCTTGGAATTGGTTATTTGAAAAATCGATACAAGTGAAGAAAGTAAGAATTTTATCTATTTTGTAGTTTGGATTTCCTTTCAGAGAAAGCGAGACTGAGTCTTGATAGTAAACCTTCCACGCTGCTGAAGTGAAGTGCAAGTAGTCAACCTCTAACTTTGCTTCATCCCTGTCAACCATAATTGCTTTTAGTTCCAAGAACAAATTGGGTGGTAGGATTCCACTGAAACTATTGGAGGCTAAGTCAATGACCTTCAAGCTTGGCCAGCTGCTGTTTACACCAAGTCCAGGGCAAGAAATGCTCCCATGAAATTGATTGGAGCTTAGTACAAGTATGTGCAAATTCGACAATTGATCAAGCCAACAAGGAAAGGTATCACTTATTCCATTGTTTCCAAGATTTAAGACCTTAAGCTTTGTGCAGTTCACCAAGGATGGAGGAAGCCGCCCTTCCAAGAAATTCTGGCTGAGATCCAATGTCTCCAAAGAACAGCTTTGCAGAAACACTTGTGGTATCTCGCCGCTTAAATGGTTTCCTTTAAGATTGATTACACCAAGGTTGCTGTTATTTTGAGCCAGACATGATGGCATTGTGCCTTGCAGAGAGTTGTTGGACAAGTCGAACACTTCGAGAAGGGCTGCATGGCACCATGAAGGCGGGATTCTTCCACTGACTCTATTGTTGGCAATGGAAAAGAAGCGAACATTTGGGAGCTGATCACCAATGTCAGGAGGCATTGTGGAGAAGTTGTTGTTTGAGAGGTCCAAATGCACTGCTGCTCGTGGCAATGGTGGAACCTTTCCGCTTAGCAGATTGGAATGTAGATCAAGGTAATCATGGCGACCGTATTCCATTGGCTCTTGGATGTGTGTTAGATGATTGTGAGAAAAGTTGAGATATCGGACATACCCATCATTGACTCCCCATATCCAGTTAGGAATTTCTCCGCTTATAGCGTTGCTGGAGAGGTCTAGCATTGCCAGTCTAGATTGGTTTTTCAGAAAATGAGGAATTTGCTGCAGATTGCAAGAGGCTAATGATAAGCTTTGGAACTGAGGGAAGAAGGGAAGTTCTGCTTCACTTATGTTTGTCTCAATTGCCAAGTTGTTATAGGACAAGTCAAGAGAGTAAGTATTCTCAAGGTTTTTAAATTTGGTTAGCTGTACAGTACCACTGAATTTGTTCGAAGAAATTGAGAGCGATGAAAGGTTCTGAAGTTGAAAGAAGAATGAGGGTATCGGCCCTTCCAAGTTGTTGCTACCCAAATCAAGATCTGTCAGTGGAGAAGTCACATTCTCCAAATCAATTATTCGGCCAGAAAAATTGTTTATGGAAAGATATAAGAACTGAAGTGATGGCAGGGAAAACAGTGAAGCTGGGATCAGCCCGGAAAATGAATTGTTATTCAAGTATAGAAATTCAAGATTGTCAAGGCCATCCCAGTGAGAGGAAGGAATTTCACCTGAAAATTTGTTACTAGAAAGGTTTACAAGAGTGAGGTTCTTGGACAGCTTAAATGATGGGATTTCACCAGTAAATTTGTTACTAGAAAGGTCTATAACAGTGAGGTTTTTGGACAGGTTAAAAGATGGAATTGAACCACTAAACTGATTCCTAGACAAACTCACATGAACAAGATTGGTAAGCTTTCCAATAGAAGCAGGGATTGATCCACTAAAATTGCAATCTGAAAGGTCAATATGAGACAACATTCTGAGGTTTCCAATGGACTCAGGTAAATTCCCAGAAAACTTTGTACTATAAAGTGACAAACTCTGAAGAGATCCATTTTCTGGGAAGTCTGGCAAAGACCCCCCAACCATTTCATTGTAACTTAAGTCAATGGTTTGCAGCGTTGGTACCTGGAATACTTTCTGATCAACTGTTCCACTGAAGTTGCAACTTACAAGGCTCAAAACAGTCAGATTGGTGAAATATGAGAAGAAGTCTGGAAATGGAACAGAGAAATCGATCCTATCAAGCTTAATAACCGAAACCAATCCTAGTTTCAGCAAGAGAGACACATCGAATCCCCCGGTGATTGGCTCGTTGCTGAGGTCCAGGCTCGTAATATATCCCGCACCATTGCACCCCACACCAGGCCACTTGCAGCAGTCATCCCTTTCATCCCACTGCACCAGTTTTGTCGAGGCCGAAGGATCAAAAGTAAGATTACTTCGTATCTGGAGAAGCGAAGCCTTCTGGTCTAGAAGACACTGGCCCAGTGCATTCATCACATTTATTCTGAATAAATTTGAGAAAAGTAGGACCAATGTAATAGTCCTGGTAAACATCAACACCCTCATTTTATCACCAGATCAAGAATCGGCTGATGATTCTTACATAGGCATATCAGAAACTGAGAAACAGATTTCTTAGTTCTTGAGGTGTAGAAGAGCTGAAATTTATATCTTTTGATTCTCACATAAACAGATCAGAAACCATGGGTTGTTAGTGTATGAAAGCACCTGGCATTGGGTCAATGAAGTACTACTTGTTACGGAGTACTTAGCTTACTTGGAATTACTAAAATATTTCTTCCATTGTCCTGAGATCTTTTTATAGATTATCTTGTTGGATCCACTAACACATGTCTGAATTATTTATTGTTCATTCTTGTCTTCTTGCAGCCAGCTGTTTTAGTGTAAAGAAAACAAAAAACAAATGCATCAGCAGCTTGTAAACACTGACAGAATGTTTGTGTTTACAGAAGATTGGGAACCTGAAAGAAACAAGCTAAGGTTTCAGCCAGGAAGGAGTGAAAGCAAAGCATGTTTACATTGATACTTAATGTAATATTTATGCTGAAATCTTGCAATTTTATTGTCTTTAGTAATGATGGGAACTGGGAAGAGCCCACATGTTTGTTAGTTGTTACAGATTACATGAAGAAAGAAACAAAGGGAATTAAAATGTTTTGGTCAAACTAAGGAAGCATAACAGATGAGATAGGTACTAGGTAGAAGTGTGTAGGGAGGAAAATTGTGCCTTTTCAAATAAAATAATCAATTTTTATTCAGTTTTTCTCTATGCTTATATGGCGTGTTCTAATTCATTTAGAAAAAAAAAGTGCTCCACAGGTCTTATTACTTTTCTTTTTCTTCTATCAATAAAAGCACGACACATGGAGGAAGTTTTATTCAATGAGAGTTCATATATAATTTTTTTTAAGAATAAAATATGTTATTTAATAGTTTAAAAATTATCTATAGATATGAGTGTTTTCTTTTTTCGTAAATTAGTCTCTATGTGCAGTTCAAAGCTGATTGATCAAGAAAATATGACTTTAACAAAAAATCTATATAGATTAAGTATTTTATAGTCCAAGCTGATTGATTCATATCTAAACTAGAGTCCATCCCTACTTGGTTGATCCTAGTCTTTCCTAAGTTCACAACCGAAAAATTTAAAATCGTTTTAGACTTTGAGACCATTCTAGACTTTGAGACCAATGATTCGAATTGGATCTTTGAACTAAAATCTACTTATAACCATGACTGATTGTTCAAATTTGAACCTCAAACACTCGAAGTTAATGTATAAATCTGAACAATCATGATTTTTTATTTTTAAACACGATGACAACCGCATACAATCACAATCTGAACTCATTTGACCTCTTTTTCAAAATTGAATTAACTCAAATCTTTTTTTATTTATTTTTATTTTTTTAATAACAAAGGAGACATGTATCCGATAATATGTATTGAGTAAATCTTACATTCTTACGATGTAACTTATATTTTAACCAACAAAAAATTACAAAGTAAATTAGTTTAAGTTATTAAATAACTAATCAATTTAAAGATCAATCTGACTAAAAAAAAAAAAAAAAAAAAACCTAGAAGATCAATAGCATAGTAACTATCTAACATACTTTTCTTTCAAAAAAAAAACTAAGGGCTCGTTTGGTTCGCGGAAAATATTTTGAGGGAAGTGAAATTGGAATTCCATGGAAAAACGATTACTAAGAAAATGAATTTCATTGTTTTCGGAATACTAATTCTATTGTTTGGTTAGATTTGGAATTGTAAGGAATAATGAGTATAAAGACCTATATGCCCCTACAAATTAATAAAAGTAATATAATTAAAAAAGAAAGCAAGGGTAATGTAGGTAATCTATTCACTTTTTCTTCCCATCTTCCATTCCTCAAATTTGAGGAATCCATTTTACATTGAAAAATGAATTCCATGAACCAAACACTAAAAAACAACATTTTCCTTCACTTTAAGGAAAAACATTTTCCATTAACCAAACATCCCCTAAATATTTTAAAATATAAGATTTCTGGCCTGAAAAATTAGGTAGTGAAGTATGTGGCAACTGCACATCCTCAGAAACACAGAAACATATGAAAAAGGAATCAACTTTCGACAGAAGAAACTCTATTCCAGAACTTCAGTTCATCCACACAAAATAAAAAAAAAAAAAAACAAAAAATGAAACAAAATCACCAAAGTTTTCCTCCTCTCCTTCTGTCGCTGGTGAAATCTCCGATATACATAGGTCTGATTGCGTTTATATACTCTCACAGTCACAGAGAAACCAGTAGGAACAAAAGAGAAGAGAAAGAAACCCTTCATAGGACATAGTCATATACTGCCATGGCTATTGCTGCTCCTGCTTCTTCGCCTTCCATTCGCATAAGCCATCGAAGTTCTTTATTCCTGAATTGCCCTTCTGTTTCTTGGAAATCCCAGTATCGTCCTCACTCTGTCGTTCTTCCTAGTAGAATCAGAGCAAGCTCCACTCTTGCTGTTGAACCGGTAAATTTCTTTCTTTGCGGATAGGGAAATTGGTGGGGTGAAGTTAAGTCTTTTTATGGTTTTTGTTAACATGGGAGTGGAGATTAATATTACCCATAGTTTTTTTCTTTGAAAATATGAAGAGAAATCTCGAATTTCAGGTAATTGGTGAAGAAAAATCTTGAATTTAGGGACTGATTGTTTTGTGAGAATGGAATTTTCATTTGATCATGGACCAAACTGTTTGGCTAATCTTTGTGGTGTATTTTTGTTACTGTGATTGCCCAATTGTAATTGAGCATCAATTTATTTTGTGCCTAACTGTATTGTGATTGAGTGTTGAGCTTTGCTTTGAAGTTGTTGGGTAGGCTGGAATGAGCCAAGTTCTGATCTTTATGCCTTAAAAACTCAATTATTTGAGGGAAAATTACATTTTTTGTGCTTCGGTTATAACCGTGGTATAGACTTAATACTTGAGTTATATACTTATATGCATAACCATTTTTTAATTCTTGTCAAACCATGAGGTGTCCTGAGCAAGCCCTAACTGTATTGTGATTGAGTGTTGAGCTTTGCTTTGAAGTTGTTGGTAGGCTGGAATGAGCCAAGTTCTGATCTTTATGCCTTAAAAACTCAATTATTTGAGGGAAAATTACATTTTTTGTGCTTCAGTTATAACCGTGGTATAGACTTAATACTTGAGTTATATACTTATATGCATAACCATTTTTTAATTCTTGTCAAACCATGAGGTGTTCTGAGCAAGCCCTAACTGTAGCTGTAGTCTGTAGGACTAGGAGGCATCTTTAAGCCCATACAGTACCCAGACTAATCCTCGTTCACACCGGCCCGGCCCAATTAAGGGGTAAAGTGTTGGCCAGATTGATTTTTCCATATGACAGGGAGTTCGAACTCCCGACCTCTCTTAAGGATGAGAGTGCACGGCCACTCACGCCAACCAAGCTGGTTATATGCATAAACATCTTTAACCCTAAGTTAGGTGTGAAGTGATGATTTTAGTCTTCCCGGACTATTTCAGGGACTAAAATCGCCACTTTGCGCATAACTTAGGGGTTAAAATGGTCACACATATAACTCAAGGATTAATCCTGTATTATGTGTATAGCTGTCAAAAATGCAATTTTCCCATTATTAGATCTTCTGGAGTTTTGTTGTGGATAGTTCTTATCGATCCTAAGGTGAATTGAATGGTGTAATTTTTTTCTGAATTTTCAACTCTTCAGAGTGTAATGTGTTGTTTCATGATTATGCTCACCCCATTGCTTATTAATTTAAGGCTCAAATTATGTGGTATAGTGAAACATTGGTTGCGTTCTTGATCATATGCAACTGTTTCATTATTGCTCATTCAGGAGTTAAGTACTCAAGCTCAAACAAGTACAGATGTTGAATTGTTTGCATGCCCAGTTTGTTATGAACCGCTAATAAGAAAAGGTCCTTCGGGTTTTAATTTGTAAGTTCAGACATGATGAAATGCATTATAATGATGTTTGCATATATGCATGAGTGGTTGTGTGACTTCAAATCCTTAACTCCTACAGACCAGCAATCTATAGATCTGGATTCAAATGCAAGAAGTGTAACAAGACATATTCGAGTAAAAATATCTATGTCGATCTGACTGTTACTGCTGGAACAAAGGCGTACAATGAATTTAAACCCGCTAGAACTGAGCTATTCAGGTACAAAAATGTTCTCTGTTATCGTATTATGTTTTGATTAAATGAAGGACAATTCTAAGTACGAGTTCTTTCACTCTACCACTGAATTTAAACTAAAATAATACGTTTTTTAAATCCCCACCTCCCAGTATAACTGGCCAAAAAATTTGAAAGAACTGAAATTTTGTTAAGACTCTTGGTTTTTTAAATGATATTATATCCAGTGACTGGTGGCCTTGCCTTCTATAGGAGTCCACTTGTTTCCTTCTTGTATGAGAGAGGCTGGCGTCAAAATTTTAACCGAAGCGGTTTTCCAGGTCCCGATGAAGAGGTAAAAGTTCTTTGATTGTACGTCTGTCGTCTGGTCTTGGTAAATTCTTTGCTGGTTTAACCATTTCAGTCTGTTAAGAGTCCTACATTTATAAAAAAGAGAGACATATGGGTTTATAAGTCTATGAGTTAGACTAACTAATTGATTGGATTCAATCTTTTAGTGTGGTTTGGCCATGTGCATTATAGCCCAGTTGAGTGACCCTAGTCCAATCTTAAATTATAACATAGTATCAGAACCTGTTCGGTCCACTTTGGGTTCACCCGGTTAGGGGTATTGGTGGTGTCCAAAGCTTTTGTTTCAGGGGAGGGTTGGTGTTCGAGCTCGCTGTAGAGATGTAAAACCCAGTCATGTCTACAAATGCAATTATTTCTCTAAATTGATTCACGTGGGTTCTCTGCAGTTACAAATGGCTCAGGAATACTTTAAAGCAGTTCAAGGCGGTATTCTTGTAGATGTAAGCTGTGGCAGTGGATTGTTCTCCCGGAAATTTGCAAAGTCGGGCGACTATTCAAGAGTCATTGCACTGGATTTTTCTGAAAATATGCTGCGCCAGTGTTACGACTTCATCAAGAACGATGAAAGTGTTCTAAACTCGTACGTAACTCCAGCTACAGCAAGTTTATACGAGAAAAAAAGTCACATTTTCTGAAATTTTCCTTCACCCAAATCTGCAGGAATCTTGCGCTTGTGAGGGCAGATGTTTCCCGATTACCCTTCTCATCTGGATCAGTTGATGCTGTTCATGCTGGTGCAGCGTTGCATTGTTGGCCATCACCATCAAATGCAGTAAGTTCTTGAATTTTTTTATGGCTTTTCGACAAAGTTCAAATAGGATTGTTAAATGAGGAATCAGTTACAACATCTAACTGTGTTAAAAGACCTCACGAAATTTGATGTTTTTATTTCATCTGAACTTGCGCCAGATTGCTGAAATCAACCGTATCTTGCGTAGTGGGGGTGTATTTGTGGGAACTACTTTTCTTCGATTCCGTCAATCTACTCCTGCAATATTAAGGCCATTAAGAGAGGTGAGTCACTCATCTTTCACCTTATTTGTCTAATGCTAAGTTTCGTGCATCTAGAAATAGCAACGACAAAGAAAACTCGATGATTATTATAAATTATAATGAACTAGCATTTCTTCCAGCAAAGAGTAACTCATATCATATAGGACATCGAACGGCACATGATAATGTAATTAGGTCACTGAACCTAAAAAAACCCTACTATTGAATCTTTAAACTAACCAATTTCATGCAATTCCTCAAATTTGCAGGTTTCTAACAGGTCAACCCAAATTTAATTTTTTTTTTTTAAATGAATTATTTAAAAAAAAAAAAAAAAAAGGGACTTCGTCTCCCGCACATTCTTCGTCTCCACGAAGAAACTCTGTCTCCATGGCCGGAGACAAAGTCCTGTTTTTTTGGTTTTTTTTTTTTCTTGTTGTTTTTGTTTTGTTGTTTTTGTTGTTTTTTAAATAATTATTTTAAAAAATAATAATTTTAATTTGAGGTACCTGTTAGAAACCTGCAAATTGGAGGAATTGCATTAAATTAGTTAGTTTAGGGATTCAATTGTAGGTTTTTTAGGTTCTGTTGCCTAATTACATTATCGTGTGTCAGTTCGATGGCCTATTCGACCATTATTCCTATCATGCAGTGTCATAACCATATGTAATCGCTAGTTGGATACTTGAAGAAACCTAAGTGTATTCCTGCAAGGTTTATGCCAATGTCAATTTTAAGAACTTTTCTGTCCCAACTGGGCATTTTCTGTTAGGCGATGATCATTTGACTGTTAGGGTCGGTCGCACTTTGTTTTCTGAGTGTACTATATGCACGGTGTCCTCTCTCGACTCACATGGCCTTTTAGTTTTGTCGGACCTGTTGTAGAATCTGTTGTTTTGCAATATATCTGATGTGTATCATGTTCGATCAACAATTACTTGGTGTATAATACAAGTTGAATTTGGAAGCAGAGGGCATTGCAAGGCTACAGCTACCTTACTGAGGAGGAGATTGAAGACTTGTGCACATCTTGTGGCCTTGTCAATTATTCCCAGAAAGTCCAAGAATCCTTCATCATGTTCTCTGCTCAAAAACCATAATCTTGTGTTCTCTAGTTTCATCTTTTTGTCTCTTGTGTATCTTGTTCTTCTAATGTTACTTCCACCTTGTAAGAAGCAAACAATATAAATACAGGAAATGTTATAATGGCTTAGGGCATTTGTCTTGACCCTATATTTTTTATTTTTTCTTTACGGGTGACGTGGAAAATTCAAAGCCACTATCTGCGAGTGTACGTGTACGTGCACACGGGGTATTCTATGCAATAGAGTAGCAGCGTACACGGGGTATTCTATGCAATAGAGTAGCAGCGTACACGGGGTATTCTATGCAATAGAGAAGTAAATTATATTAATCGAATTCGTGATTTTAAGTATAAGATTGATACTTCACCCATTTTTGAGGTTGTATTAACTTATTTTGTTTTTATCAATAGATGCGATGAAATCAATGGAAGGGATTCCTAGGTAGTTTCTAGGTTGTCCCATAAATTTGTGGTCAAGATAACCCATACCTAATTAAGTATTGTATTCTACATTTTTATTAATTATTTTAGAGAAAAGGTATAAATAGACTATTGAATTATTTTGGGTAGCAATTAACCCACTGAATTTGAATAAGTTTTAAATTCATCCATAAAAAAAAAAAAAAAAAAAAAAAAGCAATTAGCATTTTTAGTAGGTTAACAACATGTTTCGATGCCATGTGTATATTTTATTTTATATGTTATTATTATTATTATCCTACTAAGTATTTGACCCTCTTCCTGGATGTCATGTTTTTCTAATTTTATTTCCTAACGTGTCGGTTACTGTATTTAAAAATGGAACAGTATTTTTTTTTTTTTGTTTAAAAAAATAATTTTTTAAATTTTATTTTAATAATTTCAAATAAAATAATTATTTTGAAATTAAAAAAAAAAAAAAAACATCCATGGCTGGCCGGAGACGAAGGGGACCCTTCTTCTCCGGCTGTCATGGAGATGAAGGGGACCGTCTCCATGGTTGGCCGGAAACGAGGCGGTCCCCACCGCTTTGTCTCCGGCCAACCAACCATGGAGACGAAAGGGTACCCCTTCGTCTCCGGCTAGCCACGGAGATGAAGGACCGACCATGGAGACGAAGGGGTCCCCTTCGTCTTTGTCAAGGATGTTTTATTTATTTATTTATTTATTTAAATTTTAAAATAATTATTTTATTTTTTGAAAATAATTATTTTATTTGAAATTATTAAAATAAATTAAAAAAAATTATTTTTAAATACAGTACCCGACAAGTCAGGAAATAAAATCAAAACATGACATCGAAGAAGAGGGTCAAATGCTTAGTAGATAATAAAAATAATAAAATATAAAATAAACTATACCACATGGCAATCCAACCTATTGTTAACATGCTAAAAATGCTAATTGCACTTTTTGTCTCCAGGTTTATGGATAAATTTGGTGCTTATTCGGTGGCTTAATTGCTATCTCCCAAATAGTTAAATAACCTATTTGTACCTTTTCCCATTTCTATGTTGATAATATCATTCTTAATGTACTTTACTTGGTAACCACAAGATTACAAGTTTGACTCTCAGTAACTGTTTGTTTAATAATGTTCGCGAACAAGCTCGTCTGTGTTCGTTCGTTTAATAATTTTTTTTTTTTTAAAACAAAAGGACGAAATTTTATCAAGGGTCCGTTTGGAAAGGGGGAAATTGACTTCTGGAAAATGACTTTTGGAAAATAAGTCATTTTCCTTTCCGGTGTTTGGCTATGTAGAATTGTATAATTAAACATTTTATATAATTAATTATTTTGTTTAAAATATATAAAATTTATAATAATATTATAAATAATAATATTTATTTATAAAATTAAATAATATTATTTATTTAAAAAAAAAAAACACAAAAAAAGACGGAAACCAGAGAGGTTTTCGTCGTTTTCTCTGGCTTCCGGCCGGAAAGGCGGAAACCAGAGAGAACCTCTCTGGTTTCCGGCGGAAACCAGAGAGAGATTCTCTCTGGTTTCCAGCCGGAAACCAGAGAGTTGGGGAAACCAGTGAATGTTGTTGAAGGATGGTGTTGTTGAAGGAGGAAGGCTGCTGAGTTTGTGTGTGTGTGTTTAGAAGATGGAAAATGACTTCCCCAAAAAAAGGGGAAGTCATTTTCCAGAAAATTGCCTTCCTTTTCCATTGACTTCTCCTCATTTTCCTTTGACCAGCCATTTTCCAATGTAGCCAAACACCAAAAACCCGGAAAATGATTTTCAGAAATCATTTTCCGGGTTTCCAAACAGACCTAAATCAAATGTTGAATACAAGTAGGAATTGAAGAAAACCAAACAGAAGGACCAGTTTGCGAACGCGCAACCCTTGCCAAAGCGTGGGCAGTCTTATTCACTGATCTAGGAATAAACCTAAAGGACACTACTTCAAAGTATCTTTGATAATCTCTAATTTCATTAATGGCGCAATCTGCCGAAGATAAATCCACTGTCGTCCCATTAATAGCATTGCACGCCATTTGACAATCCGAAAGTATCGTTACCTTACTAAAACAACGATCCTTCACCCATGATAAAATGTTTGTTTAATATTTGTTTGTATTCTCTTTGTAGTTGTGTTACTTATTTGGTTATTTTTCGTGAACGTAGATTATTTATTGTTCACGAACGAATTGTGATCATGAACATATTCATATATTTGGCTATTAAGCATTTACGAATGTGTTTATGAACGTGAACGAACATGTTCGCAAACATTAGTGAACATGTTCGCGAACGTTAACAAACACTAATGAACGCTTAACAAACGAACACGTACATGATTATTAAAAAACCTTAACAAACGAATACGAACACGATACTCCAAAAACCTTAACAAACAAACACGAACAACTTCTGTTCGTTTATGTTCGGTTCGTTAACAGCCCTACATTTAGGTCTTCAATTATGATTTTTAAAATAAAAATAAAAATATATCAGGCTAACCCACTTTGTATAAAAATGATCAATTTAACGATATTTCAACGATTTTGTTGACTGATGACAAAAAATGGTCATGCTACAATAATACTAAGACAAAAAATAAATGTTCTGAAAAAGGACTAAAAGTGAATTGCAACTTATAAATCTAGGACCAAAATGAAATTAACTCTTAAATATTTCAAACTAAAAATTAAAATACATCGCGAGACTAATTGTACCATCATTGATATGTAACCGTACAATGCACATTTACATATCAGCGTGGTTGCACTTGTAGTGTTGCACAGACATTTAATTGTAAAATTTCAAATTTAATTTGAGCATACATTTACATATCAAGTATTGTATGTATAGTTGTTATGCGATGCAGGTTCGCAATTTTCATAGGAAGTTATTTTCACTAAAACCTGCCCCTATATATTACTTGAAAAATGTACTACGTTTTAATTAAAAAAATTAAGCAGATAATTACAGAAATATTTCTTTCCATAAAAAAAATAAAAAAATAAAAAAACTTACGAAAACTTCATAAAATGATTTGTATTATTTTCTTAATTATGCATAGTTTTTTTAAAAATATATTTACAAATACTTTTTTTATATATTTATATGTTTTCCTCACATTTGGTATCCGCTTATTTTCTTGATTTCTATTTCCATGCTAATTAGGTTTTGACAATAACCTCAAGTTGAGTTGAAATCATTTTTCACGTGCTGTTAATATTCAACGCATTCTCATTGACTATTAACTTTTGTGTCGTATTAATTTTTACTAACATATATGCATTATTGCATTACATTATTATATTTTTTTGGGTGTTGCAATTTGCACTATCTTGAGTCAAAAGTGGGTATAAAGTACCTTTGAATTGTAAAAAGGTAAAAAATTTTAATAATTATATATGTGGTGTAAATAATTAAATGGGTGTTAATATTGTTATTGCACCACCTTGACCAAACATCATTTACGAGGTGTAATTAATAATTTTTTAATTCAAATTTAATTAATTAAAAAAAAAAAAAGAACCCGTCGCCTTTATTTCTCTGATTTTTCATTTTCTTTTCCTCTCCCACCATTAATATGAAGAAGGGATAATAAAAACTATTACACCTATTAAATGGGTGGTGCAAATAACACTTTTCTATTTGCACCACCTATAAAGCTATTACACCTATTAAAATGGTGGTGTAATTAGCAAATAGGGTGGTGCAAATAGAATTTCTCATTTTTTTTGAGTGAAGAAGGAAATTCGCAATCATTGTCCGAAAGTGTGTACTAGATAAATCTTGCATTGTAATCTATAGCTGACTCGTTCAAACTTAGAAAATCAATAGACCGCTTATAATATTGAGCAGGGCCGTTCCAATAAAAATTGAGGTCATTTGCAATATCTTAATTTGGGACCCCTTTTCAAGTAATTTCTATATATAAATAATAGTTGTTCAAAAAGTTGTATCAAAATATAAATATTGTATAAAAAATACATCTAAACTTTCTTAAAAAGTGACATGCGTCGTGCACATTTAGATGCAAAATCATCTACCAAACTTTTGATATCAACTTTTCCAAAAGCTAATTTTCAATGGAGATTAAAGCTATTCCATTGAGTCTCTCTTGCAACATACTTGATCGTAAGTAAGATTTCAACAATTTCAGCTTTGAAAAACTCCTTTCTACAGAGGCAACAGTAATTGGGATAATCAATAATATTCGATATGTAATAGTAGCATTTCGAAAATAACTCATCTCTTTCAATGAATTCAATATAGTCATTGCCTTATATTTTCTTTAGATAAACTCTCTTTAAGCAATTTTAGTTCAATATACAATTCATTTTCATCAATATCACCACATTATTCATTGAGATTTGAGAATTGAATTAAAAGCTAAAAATAATGGTAATTGCTAATTAGCATAAGGTCCCGGTCGAATATGCCCATTGTTATTTGATATTTTGAATTAGGAATTGTCATTCTTAATTAACAATGGTACTTGTCAATTGAGATTTAGGAATTGGGAACCGCCAAAAGTAGGGAAGGGAATTAA